GTCCTGGAAGCTGTAGCATCATATGACACATGGATTTAGCATTCCTTCTTCGGGAGTCCCGGATCAAACAAAGACATAAGCACACTTGGAGTCTCCCCACTATTCGATGAAGCAGTCAACGACAATCTTCCAAAGTCAGCTATACGGTAAATGGTAACATTTACAATCAATGTTACTACTTGGCTGACAACATTTACCCTGAATGGTCTACATTTGTTAAAACCATTAGCAACCCTAGTAACCAGAAGAAGAAACTGTTTGCAAAATGGCAAGAGTCATACCGCAAGGATGTTGAGAGAGCTTTCGGCATTCTACAAAAAAGATGGGCCATTGCTAGAGCTCCGGGTCGATATTGGGATGTACAAACATTGGGAGAGATTATGCTCACTTGCGTTACTCTACACAATATGATAGTTGAAGGCCAACGAAATGAGTTTGGAAAAGAACATCTGGAGGCCTTTGAATATGAGACTAATCCATATGTTACATTGGATCCACCGGATCATGACACTCCAATTCTCATGGAATACATGATAAGGATAATAGGAGTCGTAACCGTAAAGGGCATCATGCACTGAAAGCGGATTTGGTTGAGCATTTCAGGACAAGAGCAGGAGGAGGGGAGTAGAAATATGGTGTGGCTCTAATTTTAAGTTGTGCACTTTAATTACTTGAATTTGTATTGTGTGCTGAGTTTACTTTATGTCTTATTGTTGTGCTTTTATTATCAATGTACTTTCCATTTTGTTATCCATGTATTCTTCATTTTCTAATGTCTTAATAAAGAAAGTTATTGAATATTGAACAAAAACATAACAAGGATACATTGAGAAATACTTAAAGCAAACACACTAAAAATAAAGGATACATCCAAGATAATTTGAAAGTACTTAAATCAAACACACTAAAAATAAAACATACATAAAAATAAATCAAACAACTTTTTAAAGACTACCGGTTGAGGGTGTAAGTGTTATCAAATGGGCTACTGGAAGATCCTTCAGGTGGTATAGAAGCTAGTGATGATTGGTATGTAAACATAATTTGGTCTCTTTGAATTTGGTACCATGCTCTTTGTTGAGGATCCAATTGAGAAAGATCCTGAAGCATGATTTCTCGCTCGTACCTACTTTTTTCTCTTGCTTCCTTCGCCTTCTCCCTTTCCTCCCTACCGACAGCCAACCTTGCATGTGTTGCCGAACTTGCCGCCATCTCCGCCAAACTCTTTTGACAAGCTTCCATGTCGGCAGGTTCACCACCTCCTCTTTTCTTCATCTTTTGTTGATCTCGACCTTCGGGACGGTTGAGCACTCTTGGAGCAGCAGCTGCATGAAGGCCGGGGCTATCAGGTTCATCACTTGACATAGCCGATTGAGATCCATCCTTTGGTGGAATGGGTGCAACATGAGCATAAAATTGTTGCATAAATCTTGGACACTCTTGGAGTAGTTGCCAACATTCTTCCAACTTCTAGTCTTTCTTCGTGTCCACGTTGAAAATAGATTTCGTTTGATGGGTCTAAACAATTGATTAAAAAAACAAATACACATGATTAAAAATTAGAACATGAACATTATACCATTAATTAAATAAAGATGTTTTAGAAGTTGACTAACCACATCTACTTGGTTAGTACCACTTCTGACATGAATGGTTGATAAACTGCCATCGAGTCTTCAAGGCGCCATTGATATGATTGATCATAAAACCATTTGCAAAATATAGATCTCCAATTCTTTTCTAGAAAGATGGTGAAGATTGATAATGACCGACAATAGGATCTTGTGAAACTTCCATCCAACCTTGGCATAAAACAAGGTCTTCATGCGTTGTGTAATTCGGATTGCGCTCGCTGCCGGAAGAAGCCATGGTTACGATTATAGAGTTTAGGAAGAAGAGAACTTTTTTTGGAAGGTAGGAAAAGAGTTTGAGAAGTGTTGGAAGAAAGTGAAGAATGAATTTTATTTATAGAGCTGGAAAAAATATGATCGTTGGAAATATGACGGTTGAAAAAATAGCCGTTAGAAATATGGCGGTAGAATATGGCCGTTGGCCAATAACTCCCAAAAAATCGATCAGAAATTCCATAAAACATTTTCTAAAAGAAAAAAAAAAGCGTTGACAAAAATATTTTTTAAAATCAATTCCTCCCACCCGCCTGGTCACCCTTCCCCTCCTTCTTTTAACTTCTACTGAAGGGGAAACTCTTCCCCACTTCCCTTTTTTTTTCTTTTTATCTATATTACCCACCACCAAGGTTGTCAACCCGCGGGTTGACCCGGACCCGGTTGAGCTAGTGGGTCAAGGGTTAATGGGTCACCCGGTTTAGCCCGGAAATATGGAAAGCGTCATTATGTTATACTTATCCTGATACATTATATCAAATCTCATCTAACATATGAGTTATAACATATAATATTACACCAAAATAACATTTCGTACTTAGATTCAACATATAGTGAAAATTCACACACACTTATATAACATTAATATTCAAATGTTCAACTTAGGATTCCAAAGATTGAGTTAGGCGAAAAGAAAAATCGGAAAATAGGCGCATTTCGCAAAACAAAGAAAAAAATGACACAATTTGATCTCCAACCCGGTACCTTGTAGCGGTCGACCCGGCGGGTGTGTGCGACCCATTTTTGGGATGTAATGGAGGAGTTCTTGTGAGAACTCCGAAGTTAAACGTGCTCAGTGTGGAGTACAACAAGGATGAGTGACCTTATGGGAAGTCACCTTGAATTGCACCCCAAGTCGAGAACCGTGCGGGTGTAGAGGCACAAAGCGAACAGTATCTTGTCGGGAAAAGGTTCAGGATGTTACAAGTGGTATCAGAGCCTCTCCACGTCCCTCTTGAACGACGATGGGGCAATCTCAACGAGGAATTTGAGTCCCAAGGGGGGTGTATGTAACACCTTAGGCAAATCCCATATCGACAAAGCACGTGAGAGATCCATGGTTCATAAGTAGGAAACCGACCTTAACTGAAAAAGATGCGTTTTGGGGTGTAATGGAGGAGTTCTTGTGAGAACTCCGAAGTTAAACGTGCTCAGTGTGGAGTACAACAAGGATGAGTGACCTTATGGGAAGTGACCTTGAGTTGCACCCCAAGTCGAAAACAGTGCGGGTGTAGAGGCCCAAAGCGGACAGTATCTTGTCAGGAAAAGATTCGAGATGTTACAGTTAACTAGTCCGCTAATGTTGAAGGAACTCAACTACTAATATGAAGGACTAAACTGAAAGGAGTAATTACTTAGGAGAGTTGTCATTATCGTTAAACTGGACGTCACGTTTTCAAGTAAGTGACGACAAGTCAACAACCGACTCTCCCCTCCGCACTCAATCACTCTACATCTAACCACCTCTTCTCCGCCACCAAAATTATTATACAGAAAAAGTAGTGATGGAAATGGGGAGAGATGGCGGATACCTCAATACTCATGTCTCGTCCACGCTTGATACTAACTACGGGTTGGGGCAGGTAATATCCGTGAGGGTATGGGGCGAGGCGGACGCGTCGACCTACTTTTACAAGTTATTTGAAAAAGATATACAAAAAAATTCACTTTTTACGATAAATCGCAGGGAAAAACACTTTATGAATGAAAAACAGTGATAATAGAATGGGTAATTGAATCTAATTAATTGACAGATCATGTCTTAAAAAAGCCAAAATAAGATTAATATGAATAGAATAGGTCAAAAATGGGGTGAGGCGGGGCAGGACGGGTCGGAAGTAGATACTCATGTCCCGCCCCACACAACTGGGAGTCGGGTAATACCCACCCCATTGCGGGTAAGATCAAGTAATACTCGATGGGGCGAGTTCAAATTGCCGAAAAATGCCTCATGTCGTCGTCAGGTAATTTGCCTCGTGTATTGCATATTTAGTTCTAGCACGAGAGGAACCTCATTTTGCTTCGTTAAATACAAATGGAGCATTTTATTATTTAGAGCATAGCACGATGTTTGTCGAGAAGCCTTGTTCCAGAATTGAGAGTTGGTCCAATATATATATGCCTCATCTATCTATAAATGAGAATATTGATAAATGACTAGCATCAATATTATTTAGTAGACTTAAAACTCATAATTATACCCACAATCAACCATACACCACATCCACAAGTTCATTGGATGATATATGATTGGATTAATTAATAAACCTATACTGGAGCCCCAAAAATATTAGGTCTTGTGCCGAAGGACCTCCCAACTAGGGATGGCAACAAAACCCGAACCCATGGGTACCCACCCGACCCAACCCGGTCAATGCGGGTAAAATTCGTGTTGACGGGTTTTGGGCCGGATTTGGGTTTAAACCCTTAACTATTTACCGGGTTGGGTTTGGGTTTAGGTAAACCCGGCCCATGGGTACCCGCCCATACCCACATAATTAATTTTCTTGGCATATTTAATATTCTAAGCAACTAATCTTATTTATGTTTGTGGAGACATGTCTAATTTTTTCTTTCTAGTTGTGTAGAATGAAGTTGATGTTATCGAGTGGAGAGTGAAAAACTTAATTGAAAGGAAGAAGCTTTCAATTAATCATGTTATTTATGGATAATTTGTGATTTGCTTCAATTTTCTTGAGTTTTCTAGATTGTTGTTGAACAATTTGTATAGTTAATTTATGATTTGCTTGAATTTTCTATAATGGTGTTTTATATATGGATAATTTGTATTGAGATATTGATATTTGACTTTAATTTTGATAGGAACTTGTTATTATGAATTTTTTACGACAAAAACCCGTGTGTATCCATGAACCCGCGGATACCCAGCGGGTTGGGTTGGGTTTGAGTTTTTCAAACCCAATGAGTTTTAAGTTTTAACCCAAATTTTTTTTCACGGATAAACCCATGAATTTGAGTTTGAGGTTGGCAAAACCCGAACCAACCCGACCCATTGCCATCCCTACTCCCAACACACTCCAATGGTCGGCCCTGATGTTTGTAGCATACAAACTCGTACAATGTAATCTTTCACGAGCCAAGCCACCAAACTCCAACCATTTTCTTTCGCCATAACCGAACCACCGCGCTCAACCCCATCGCACCGCCCGCCTACTCTTCGCCACCACCTGGCCCCTCAACAAACCCTCCGATTCCTAGGGTTTCCCTAATCGGCGACTGCCCCATGGAACCTTCTCCTTTTCCTCCCGACGCCCCGCTCGACGAATCAACGATAGCTCATCTCCCGCCGGCGACCGAACCGTATCCTTCTTCTTCCTCCGGCGTCTGGGAATTCACCGATCTCCTCGACTTCAACATCAACGGTCACTTCCCGCTCGCCTTCGACTCCATCGACGGTACCGCCTTGGACTATATCCCTGAGCTGGATCCTGGCCACTTGACGCCCGATACGCCGCCTCCCGACCAGGTCAGGAAGCGGGACCCGAGGCTCACCTGCTCCAATTTCTTGGCGGGCAGGGTCCCCTGCGCCTGCCCGGAGCTGGACGATCAATTGGAGTTGGAGCGGGAGGAAGGCACCCCGGGGAAGAAGCGTCCACGTGTCGCCAGGGGAGGGCCCGGGATGCACCGGTGCCAGGTTCCCGGTTGCGAGGCGGATATCGGCGAGCTCAAAGGTTATCACCGGCGGCACAGGGTGTGCTTGCGTTGTGCTAATGCGACCGCCGTTGAGCTCGAGGGGGAGACCATGAGATACTGTCAGCAGTGTGGGAAGTAAGTGGATAGCGCTTTTGGTTTCTTGAGTCTTGCCACTTTTGAATATTATGATCGGAGTTCTGGATGGTGGCTTGATTGAAATGCCCTGCCTTGCGTGTTTCTTGTGGTATAGGTTTCACTTGCTTTCCGATTTTGATGAAGGCAAGCGCAGCTGTAGAAGGAAGTTAGAGCGTCACAACAATAGGAGACGTAGAAATCCTGGCGCTAAAGAGGGGACTAACCTGGATAGTTTGCAAGCTGAAGATGCTGGTGGTGATGGTGAAGTTGAAAAAGGTCAGGTTATGTTACGTGAAATGGAGAGTGGCATTCGGATATGATGTGTTCTGATGGGCTATGTTTCTGTTGTCATGCAGAGGGTGTAAGCTTGCAGATTGCTGGCAAGGAAGGTCTGGTTGTGATTGAAGATGAAGCCCATAAATTGAACAGTGACAGTGGTGCTGGTTCAGCTGAAACCCAATTGGATGTCGGAAATGATGATTCTGGTGGGAAGTATGATTCCAAAGTGTCGCGCTCCCCTTCTTATTTCGACAACAGGACTCCTTACTCATCGTTGGTGGGTCATCATTGATTTTATTGATTGCTGATTCTGCTGCATTGTTAAATGATGTAGCTTCCTTCTAATCACTTGTTATGTATTTTAGTGTCCAACAGGTCGGGTCTCGTTCAAGCTCTATGATTGGAATCCAGCAGAGTTTCCGAGAAGGCTCCGTCACCAAGTATTTTAAAGAAATATTTTGCAGTTTAGTATTTGATGGCCGATATGGTATTTATTTACTTAAGAGTATAGGATTTTGGCTAATGCTGTTCTCATCGCATATGCAGATATTCCAGTGGTTGGCCAGTATGCCTGTCGAGTTGGAAGGATATATTCGTCCTGGATGTACAATCTTGACTGTGTTTGTTGCAATGCCAAAACTTATGTGGGTGAAGGTAATTACTAGTTTACTGTCTGAAAAATGCTCAAATCAATTACTGTAAAGAGTTTCGAGTTTAGTTCAGAACAACTCAGTCCTTAAACTTAGGCAAGACAATTTTCCCTTCAGATTATGGATCCGAATTTACTTTCTGCTCTCACCACTTCAAGCTTGTGAGAAAGAACTGCGTGCTCATTATTTTTTCTATTAAATGCATCCTCCTGAAAGTACTAAGTGTTTTAATTGAACAGTAAGCTGAAGAAGTAAGGTGGAAACTTTGAAAGTTGGGACATTGAAGGTTGCAAAGTAGTTTGGCTAAATTTATACTTTACATTCCTCGGCCAGTAACATGTATTTAGTAGTATTGATGAATTCTGCTAGTGGTTTGGGGATTCTTACCAGTTCTGCATTAACTTTTATAACTTTTGGCAGTTGCTCGAAGACCCTCTATCGTATGTGCACAATTTTGTTGTTGTTCCTGGAACAATGCTGTCCGGAAAAAGCCCTATGATCGTTTATCTGAATGATATGGTGTTCCGAGTTATGAAAGGCAAGATCCATTTGAAGTTTCTGATTGACCTCCTGATCATTAATAGTGATTTTCTTCTTGAAATGCATTTGGATTTTATACTCCTTTCTTTGGACCTTTGGTTTAAACTTTGTGCCCTTGCTTTTCCGACGACTCTACTTTTCGGATGTCATAAGCAAGTTGCTGAAACCGAACATATCCAGCATTTGGCTAACTGGAGCTTCCAAAGTTTTGTGACCCTGGCTAATTGCTTGCTACAGCTCTTTCCACTGCATGTTGCTGTTGAGATAACTTAAAAAACTTGTTTGGTTATCAATTTCCCTAGCTTAGAGAAGTGACAAATGAATAGTTTGGTTTGGACCCCAGTTTCCAGTTCTTTCCTCTACTTGCTGCTGGTGAGATAACTGTAAGAAATTGTTTGGCAAGTAGTAGGCCTAACTTCGAAAATTGGCAAAGAGAATAGCATGGTCTCTTCCCCTCAGTTTGCTGGGTAGAAGGAAGAAATAGTTTCACAATAGATGGTAAAACTAAAGAAAGACTCATCTGAGGGTGTCAGCCTTATTATCATTCTTTTGTAGTGGAAGAGCCGTCTGAATATTTTCCGTTTTTTCTAAATTTCATTCCCAAGAAAAAAATGTTTCAATGTTCTCGTTATCTGACACACTTCCTATGGAACATAGGTGGAACTTCCGTGATGCAACTCAGTATTGGAACACAATCCCCTAGGCTTCACTATGTTCATCCAACGTTCTTTGAGGCTGGGAAGCCAATGGAGTTTGTTACCTGTGGAAGCAATCTATTCCAATCCAAATTTCGGTATAACATTGCTGTCCAATGTACCTGGCCACCTATTGTGAAATATAATATTTTTCTTACCTATATTTTTTCTGGGTCTTTTTTCCTTAAGTTTTCCTTGCTATTGATTGTCCGGAATACCTAGTTTTCCCCTCTTGTTAATAATGGGTCTCATTCTTAAGAGAATTTTATTATCTCCGTGATAATGTTGCTAGTGTAATAAAAGAGGTCATTATGGCAGGTTGCTGGTGTCATTTGATGGGAAGTATTTAGCATATGATTCCTGTGTTGGACTTCCCAGTGGTGGTCCAGATGGAGCAGCAACCAGGGACCACCAGTTGTGCAAGATATCTATTCCTCATGTTGATCCTAATATTTATGGTCCTGCATTTATCGAGGTAGTTTTTAAATTCTCTGGAACACAGAACCAGCTTTTTTCCCGAGGGAGCCAAGGAAGTCTATTTCCCTTTCAGGTTGTTTTTTCTGTCTCAAACATCTGCTTCAACGTCTTTTGCAGGTTGAGAACGAAAGTGGTTTATCGAACTTCATTCCTGTGCTCGTAGGAGATCGACAAATCTGTTCCGAAATGGAAGTAATACAGCAGAGAATGGGATTATTAGATGCATCTCATCCACCAACAGGTCTACTGCACTGTGAGGTTTCAGAAACCAGGCAAAGAGCACTCTCGGAGTTGATTGTGGACATAGCATCGTTGTTGAAACCGCCTTCCCAAGAAGATATCAAGCAAAAAAAGACCTCTTTTCAGATCCAAAGATTCATACATCTATTGCAGTTTTTGCTACAGCATGAATCGACCTTCATTCTGGGGAAAATTTTGTCCAATCTGAAGATACTAATGGATGAACTATGTGTGGAAAATAATGCTGATGACAAGCTATTACAAAAACACATTAATGATGCCCGTATGTTTCTTCTCCAACAAGCAAACAGAAGCAAAGGTTGGGTTTCACGGCCAGAGTGTACTACACAGGACCCTGGTGATGTAGATCAATGTAGCTCGTCAAACAATTTTCCATCAGTTGCTGCATGTTCTGATGAGGTTAGACAGCTCATTCTTTTGGACTTCTTTGCTGTGTTTGTTTGAGCTGTTGCTTTAGATAAGTAGCTTTTTTGTAGGTGGTTGTAAAAGTGAAGAAAAATTATGTTAGTAACAGCTTAGAGAAAATTAGTGAAGGCACTTGGATATGTAATAATTTCTAGGGTCCGCCATAAGTAATTGTTTTGTGCCATTATTTCCTGCTGGCTGAACTATGTCATAATTGGCAATTTTGTGATTGCAGGACATAGAGAGTAGACCTGATAACCGGTTGAGGTTAACGGAAGACTCAGGTCATGATGTTACAAATGACAAGACTCCGCTCCTAAATGGACGGGCCATCAAGTCATGCAGTCTCATGTTGTCCAACCGGGTATTGAGGTCACGGCCTGGGATGTTTGTAATTGCTGCCATGGCAGTGTGCCTCGGAGTATGTGCAGTCCTGCTCCATCCCAAAAGTGTTGGCAAACTCGCTGTCTCGATCCGGAGCTGCTTGACTGATAGTCGGTACTAACACCTTACACCAGCCTAGTAAGCCTTTTTGTTTGTAAATCTCAGCTAGGTTAATTTGAAGCTAACAAAAGGCTCCAACCAGTTCGAGTGCTTAAAACCCTTCTCAGTTTGACAAGCCACATCCTCGAAGCAGACGAAGAAGACTGCCCTGGTTTTTAGCCCCATGCCGAGGAAACCAAATTCTTTGTAGGGCTTGCCTATATATTTGTCTGTTTTTTTCTCTCTTCATGTAGATCTTGGCAGCCATCAGAGGGTTGCCTTAGTGTATGTCATGTGTATTTTCTGTTAGTTGCTGTCTCCATTTCTCTCGAGAGGATATGAAGCAGCAGTGCCCGGAGAAGAAAAAGGAAGAGAATACCTTTTAGAAGCCGGAGAGACACTGGAAACCAAGTCTCTGTTGGCTTACTACCCTTTTCAATCATTCCGTTTCATGCACCGACAATTTATGGGTCAGTATAATTGGATTCGGTTTCGATTGGGAAATAAATGACCATGAAATTGTCAAGCAATTGAGAGGGAGGTCGTTTGGAAGATAAGAATCTGAATGAATGATGCTGAATGGAAGTATCCCAAACTACTTGTAAAAATTACAATAATTTAGCATACACAACAAAAAACGGCCAAAATAACGAAGGGGTCGGAACGGATTAGTCAGTAACCTTATGGTGAGTAACTATAAGTAACTCGCCCATATCAGCATGACATCAGCATCCTCTCTTTCCTGGAAAGCATTTAATTTTTTCCTTCCTAATCTTTGACGGACGATTTCTCACTCGTTTTAAGTCAAAATTTAATTTTTTTTGCACAGTTAGATCAGATTAATTGTGCTCTTCAAAATGATATCCACTTTGATATATTTTTCGAACTAAAAAAATTTAGCCATTTTATACCAGTCTATACCATATGGTATTGACTGGTATTGAAATAAGAGCATACATATGGTTTGAAAAGCGTACCATGGTGGTATGACACAAACCAAAACTGTAGGATGGTTGAATACATGATAATAGAAGTATATTAATTGTCATTTACGACTTTTAACATTGTATACCATAAGATACCACCCCCGTACCAGGGTGGTATTGTATGGTATTGTGTGGTATTTTTTTGTCTTGTAATATGTTCACCCAGAAATTTGTAGATCCAATAGATCATGATGAACTCGTCCCTGCTGTGCAAACGTTTTCAAAAACGAATTAAAAACGAAGAAGATACCATATGATATGTAGTTGGTACCGAGAGGCCAGAATTTTTTTTCCTCAAAAAATATTAAAAATTGATCTCATTTTGTAGAGCACGATGAACTCGTTCCATCTGTGCAAAAAAAATTAAAATCCGAGTTAAAACGAAAAAGATATGAGTCAATTAAGAAAACTAGTGAAAATAAAAATGACCTTTAATTCTCCATCCTTAGATCTGGATTTTCTAAATGAAGGGTCCAGATTTGGTTATTGATGGGTGCATAACCATGGTTATGCACCCTAACTTGAGCCGTTTGAAAGGGGAGCAGATCCGGTGAGTAACCTTGTGGTGAGTAACCACATGCATAACCCAATAAGAATCTGCCACATCAGCGTCTCCTTCTCTTTTCTAAAAAAATCATTAATTTTCTTTCTCTTAATCTTTAACGGACGATTTCTCACTCGATTTAACTCGGAATTTAATTTTTTTTGCACAGTTAGATCAGATTAATTGTGCTCTTCAAAATGATATCCACTTTGATATTTTTTGGAACAAAAAAAATTTGCCAGTTATTACCAATCTATACCATATGGTATTGACTGGTATTAAATAACAACATACCATATGATATGAAAAATACCAGTCAATACCATATACTGTTATTTAATACCAGTCAATATCATATGGTATTAAATAACAGCATACCATATGATATGAAAAATACCACCTCATACCAGGGTGGTATAGTATGGTATGGAGTTGGTAACGAGAGGTTTGAAATTTTTTCCCCCAGAAAATTTTGAAATCCAATAGATCATGATTAAATCGTTCCTTTTGTGCAAAAATTTCCGAAAATGACTAAACAATGAAGGAGATACCATATGGTATGGAGTTGGTAACGAGAGGGATGAAAATTTTTTTTCTCAAAAAATATTGAAAATGGATATCATTTCGTAGGGCACAACGAACTCGTTCCATCTGTGCAAAAAAAAAAAAAAAAAAAAATTTGAAATCCGAGTTAGAATGAATAAGATATGATCCAATTAAGAAAACTAGGGAAAATAAATTCCTTTAATTCTCCACCCTTAAATCTGCAGTCACTTAAAAGAAGGGTACAGATTTGGTTACTAATTGTTACTCACCCTATCTTGAGCCGTTTGAAAGCTATGTGGCGGTGTACAACTTTGACATATAAAGTGTCCAAAATGCATGCATTTGACTTAGAATCTCTAAAAAAATATAAGATTTTCTTTCTTTTACTTTTCTCGATTTTTTCCATCCTTATAAATGAAATTATAATAACAAGTTCAAGATTATATTCGGCATTTGGCCTCCGGTTAGAGTTTTTATTTTCTTGGGAATCACAAGTACCAAACAACATATCTTTCAATTGTCTATTTCTTACAATCACTCGTCTTATGCATACATTCGAGAATATACATTTTCTCAGAGTTTCTACTTCTAGATGAACTATGGGGTCGTTTGGTTTTGGTGATAGTTAAATAGATGCATTATTATCGATGCATGCATAATAATATACATGCATATCAGAAAATTTGATGTATTGTAGTTTACATTGTTTGGTTTGATGTGATAGTTATTCTAGTATTTAAATAAGATATACTAGCATTTTCACCGACCTGTTGGCCGGTTACTCAATCTATTATGGTGAACTCGATTATTATTTTTTTTAGTTCAGCTAATTTGTCCATTTTCGTGTTTGCAACAAAAAAAGTTCCAGGTTGAAGCTTTTAGAGTGTGATTATACAACAACCAGAGCGTATTTCAAATGGTTAATTTTGTTCCTCAAAACATAGCAAAATGGCTATCATTGTATAGATCTTGATTATACATTATTTTTATGCGTAAATATTTTAAATTCCAAATTAAAACGAATGAGATATGACCTGATTAAAAAAGAGAGATTAAAAAAAAGTAGTCTTTGACTGATAAAAAAGCTTCTCTCCTCTGAGATTCGTGACAGTATGTAAAAAAATGCAGAAAAGGGAAGTTACCAACTTGTCCCTTTTTATACCCTTTATTAGCAGCGAGTCTTTTTGGCTTTTAGATGCTACTTAATTGATAGATATAGATGTAGTGTTGTGGATGGCTCAAGAGTCAAGATACAGTACATAACCATGGGTTATGCGTTATGCACCTATTAATAATTAAATCTGGATTCTTCATTCAAAAAATTCAGATTTAAGGATGGAGAATTAAAGACCATTTGTATTTTTTTTGTTTTTTTAATCGGCTCATATCTTCTTCGTTTTAACTCGGGTTTCAAATTTTTTGCACAGATAGAACGAGTTCGTTGTGCTCTACAAAACGAGATCCATTTTCAATATTTTGAGAATATTTTTCTTGCCTCTCGGTACCAACTGCATACCATATGGTATCTTCTTCATTTTTAATTCGTTTTTGAAAACTTTTGCACAGAAGGAACGAGTTCATCATGATCTATTGGATCTACAAATTTCTGGATGAACAAATTACTTGACCAAAAAATACCACACAATACCACCTTGGTACGAGGTAGTATCTTGTGGTACACAATGTTAAAAGTCGTAAATGACAGTTAATATACTTCTACTATCATGTATTAAACCATCCTATAGTCTTGGTTTGTTCATACCACCATGATACGCTTTTCAAACCATAGCTACACTCTTATTTCTATACCAGTCAATACCATATGGTATAGACTGGTAAAAAATGGCTCAATTTTTTTGTTCAAAAAATATATCAAAGTGAATATCATTTTGAAGAGCACAATTAATCTGATATAACTGTGCAAAAAAGTTAAATTTTGACTTAAAACGAGTGAGAAATCGTCCGCAAAGATTGGGGGGGGGGGGGGAAAGGGGAATTAAAGGCTTTTCATTAGAGAAAATGTGCGCTGATGTGACGGATGGTGATTGGGTTATGCATGGTTATTGACCGGATCGACTCCCGTTGTAGATAAGACCTGTGTACCCTATCCGTTTTTTTTTAAAATAAAAAGTTATGTAAATGACAAAAAAAATTCAAACGTAAAATATGAAAAATGTAAAATAGTAAAACTATATCTTGTTTGATTTTTTTTATATTGACTAATATTAATCTCCTATTTTAGTTTTAAAATGATATAAATGAAAGAAATTATTTTTTTACTAAAATTATAAATGATAAGGATCATTTAGTATTTTCGAAACAACTGTTTTAGAAGCGTTAAATTAGAGCTTATATTTTTATTTTATACAAACTGCAGTAATGAACCCTTTGAGATTGCCATCTGCCTTCCATTGCATAAAGTGGCGAAGGCAAGTGTTGAGGAGTGGGGTCTGAGGACCCCACTTGACAGAAAAATTAGGCAAAAAATTCATTAGATACGTAGGTTTTAGCCGATTCTTCAAACTTAGGACCCCATACTCTTATTAATTTTAGCTATCTTTAAGAACCCCAATCAACTCAAACTCTATTCAAGGCATAGATTTTAGCATTACAAATTTTTAAGACCCCATTTAACTTGAAGTCTGGCTACACCACTAATTGCATATGAACGAATTGGCGATTAACATCCTCCTTGATCAAACCAAATATTGTTTCGACGAGATATGGATGAAATTATAGCTCAACCTACGACTAAGCATTTGGTTGTGCCTTTTCAATCTTTTATATAAATAATTAGGGATGTTTATTTGAAAATAAAATAAAAAAGCTATAGAAATTGAATGTAGTTTGCCCATATTTCCCGTTTTTTTCTTCATGCTTCTCGAATTCACTGTGAAATTAAGATTCTAATGCTTTAAGTGTTGATTCTTGGTTTTACTATTTAACGTAAAAATAGATAGTGTAGAGACCTTAAACCCATATTGGGAAATAGATTACAAAAACCTTAAACCCAAAAATAAAAGATTACAAAAGGTGATTTAATCTTATGTAGGGTTAATACCACTACAAAACTCATGCGTGGAATAAGGAGAAGCAGCAAAGTGGGTACGTGGCCGTTTTGCTATATAGTGAAGCATATAATGTAGTGTGTTGATGTTGATGACTGATATCTGGGTGAAATGTCATTTTTATTCTTTGTTTTTAATCTAAAAAAATAAAATACATCAAAAGGTGGGAACATAGTTGGAAGAAGAAAAAACTCCAACAATCTCAAACAAACAATCTCAACAATCTAAAAAAAAACTTGAGATATTACTATTACTCATTTTGAGTGATAGTTTCTATCACATCAAGCAAACAATGCATATATAGTTTGTGCAGAAAATTAAAAAAACAATACATTATGAACAATGTGTAACACCCCGATATTTTGATTTAGGTTCGACCATAACAAATAATCAGTTGGATTGACGGTTACGTATTAAGAGTTACAAGTTACAACCGCAGATTAGAAATGATAATAATAATAATAACTATTATTATTCTTAATATTAAAAAAAAATATA